AGTGGATAGCTAGCTTAAGCTACATAGCAACACTCTGTCTCAAAAAAACAAAATTAGCAAGAGAGCATGAAAAATTGATTGAATAGCTGCTAAATGACACAAAAACAAATCTAAGCCAGGTGTACTGGCATAAGCCTATAATCCCAGCACTTGGGAAGTGAGGTAGAAGGATCACTGAGAGTTTGAGCCCAGCCTGGGCTATACAAGCAAGTTCAAGACCAACCTGCACTCCATAGGGAGACCCTGCCTCAAAAATACAAAAAACTAACAAAAAAATCTAAGAATAAATAGAATAAGAGAAAAATTGGAAGACAATACAGGTGGCCAATACAAGTGGCATTACAAACCTCCCCACAGAAATAATGGCAGAAAACCCCAAAATATAGCGATAAAATAAACATAGATGTGAGGCATATAAAACCTCAGCTGTGCTGGGCCCATGCATGCCTGTAGTTCCAGCTCCTGGGAGGCTGTAAACAGGCAGATCACTCTGAGTCCGATCTAGTAGTGAGACCCTGAACACCCTGTAGACCGTTCCCTAAAATACAAAAAAAAAAAAAAAAAAAAAGACAAAAAGAATGAATATACCTAGTGGGATAAAGAACTAAACAAAAGAAGAAAATCAGCAAAAGGAAACTACTGTGACTACAGAAATAACTCAATAGTTTTCAGTAATAACTCTTAATATGAATAGTCTCAATTTCCCAATCAAGACACACACTGGCAGAATAGATCATGAAACAAAACCAAATAATATGTAGCACATAAGAAACACATTTAATTAAAAAGGAAATTTACAGATTAAAAATTCAAAGGATAGAAAATATTCCATGCAACAGGAACCAAGAAAAAAGTAGGTACAGCTACCCTACTTTCAGACAAGGTAGACTTCAAGCCAAAACTGGTGGTGCACTCCTGTAATCCCTGAGCTGGTGAGGCTGTAAACAGGAGGATCACTGTGAGTCCAAGCTGTGTAGTGAAACTCTACCAAATACATTAAAAACAAAACAAAACAAAACAAAAAACAAGACAGAACTATAGAAAACATTCCTAAAATTTATATAGTATCAGAGTACACCATGAATAGCAAAAGCAACTCTATGCGAAAAAGGCAAGAAGTATCACAGTCCCAGGCTTTAAACTATACTGTAAAGCTACACTGATAAAAACTGTATGGTATTAGCAACAAACACACAAACACACACACACACACATACACACCATCAGATTTGTTTAACTGAACAGAACAGAGAATATAGAAACAAATGTAGGGACATACAGCTATCCTACCTCTGACAAAGGGGCCAAAAACTTTTCCTGGAAGAAAAATAGCTTTAACAAATGGTGCTGGGAATACTGGCTATGCACTTGCCAGAGATTGAACCTAGACCCATATTCTTATTATGCACTAAACTAAAATCAAAATGCATCAAAAATCTAAATATTAAAGAAAAAATCTAAATATTAAAATAAAACAATCTGCTAGAATATAAAATAAACTCTTGAAGATACAGGCATAGGTAAACTGGTTACACAAGAAATAAAAATCAAGATTTAATAAACAGGACCATATCAAATTAAAAAGCTTCTGTATAGCAAAGAAACCAACAGAGTGAAGAGATGATGCACAGAATGAGAAAAATTTTTCCAGTTGCTCTTCAAAGGAGTGGTTATTAGATTCCCCCAATTTACAGACTCAAAAAAATGGTCACTGAAGTTGGGTATAACAGTACACGCCATTCACAGCACTTGAGAGGCTGAGGAAGGACTGCTATGAGTTTGAGGCCTGCGTGGCCTACGTAGTGAGTTCAAGGGTACAATGAACTACACAGTGACATCTTATCTCAAAACAAAAACAAAAACAAAAAAAAACCCAACAAAGGCATCTAAAGTGAACTGACACTTGTCATATAAAGAAGTACAAATGGCCAATAAGTATGTTCAACATCACTGGTCATTTGAAAAATGCAAATTAAAACACTGAGATTTTATCTCACTATGGAAAGAAGGACTATCTTCAAGAAATTAAATAAATGCTGAAGAGGTTGTGGGGGCAGGGATAAATGAACCTTTCCCTGTTGTTGGTGTAACTGTAAGCTGGTAAAACCACTGTGGATGGCAAGCACAAAATCATGAGTTCGATCCCTGGTACTAAAAACAAAACAAAAAAAACACCCCAAAATCCCTACTATGGAAACCAGTATGGAGATTCCACTCAACCCATCTATTCTCTTTCTAGATCTCTTCCTGAAAGAGTTAAAGATATCATGTTATAATGATACATGCATACTGATGTTTACAGCAGCAGAATTCATCATAGCTAAATCTTGGAAGCAGCCTATATGCCCATTAATAGGTGAATGCATAAAAAAAAATGTAGTATTTCTACACAATGGAGTCCTACTCTGCCATGCTGGGCATGGTGGCATACACCTGTAAACCTAGCACTTCGAAGGCTAAGACAGAAGAACTGCTGTAAGTTCAAGGCCAACCTGGGCTACATAGAGAGCCCTTGTCTCAAGTAATATATTATTATTATTTAAAAAATAATAATAATAAAAGGCCAGTGATATATAGCTCAGTGGTGTTATAATCTACCTGGCAAGTTCAAGGCCCTGAGTTTGCTCCCCAGTACCAAAACAAAAATTGAACCTCTCTTCCTTTAAGTCAGAGGTGTCAGATAAATTGTGTCCCTGTGACAAGAAAGTGACTAACAAACAAAAAGGATAAACCTGTCATTTAAAGAAAAATGGTAACACTTTGAGATCATAATGTTAAGTGAAATAAATCAGATACACAAGCTTAAATATTGCATGGTTTCTCGTATATGAGAAGCCCAACGTATAAAGTACAAAATTAAGAACGAACAGTAGGGAGAAATAAAAAGTTATTGTAATCCAGCATAGCCACTGTATCAATGTATCTAACAGTGTACCTTGATTTAGTATAAATTATTTTGTGTGTTTTACATGGTTTTTGCCTGTTAGGCTGGTTGTTAATCTGTGTTTACAAAAGATTTGATAAAGGCATAAAATAAATAAGTAAAAAATAAATAAATAAATAAATAAATAAGTAAATCTGATCCTGGCCCAAAACACCACCACCAATGGAGGGGAAGAGGACAAGGGGGAAAAGAGAATTAAGATGTGTTATGGATATATACTAATTCCCACAATGAATGTAATCATTATGTACTGCAAATGTGCACAAATTTTTTTTTTTTTTTTAAATAACCCATTAGGGGGCCTGCCCGTTAGCTCAGTTGTTTAAGTGCCTGCTCATGCAAATGCAGTCAGGAGCAAGATACCACGGTTCAATCCTGAGCTCCACCTTCCTTACCAGACCTGTCCTTCAGGAAGCCTGAGCCACCAAAAAAAAAAAAAAAAATCCTTTAGGGGCCAGGGAGATGATAGCTCAGTAGAATAAGTGCTTGCCTGGCAAGCACAGGGTCCTGAGTTCAATTTCTAGTACTGCAATAAATAAATTAATTAATTAAAATAAAATAAAGCAAAATAACCCATTAGCTGGGCATAATGGTACAAGCCTGTAACTCCACATACTCAGGAAGCTGAGGCAGAAGGATCAAATCAAATATTTGAGGTCAGCTTGTACAATTTAGTAAGACTCTGTCTCTCTTTTTTTTTTTTTTGATGGAACCGGGGATTGAACTCAGGCCCTTCTACTGAGCCATCTCCCCGGCCCTGAGATAAATTTTAAAAAGGGGATTGGGATGTAGTCCAGTGGTCCCTGGTTTCAACTCCCATTACCATTACCACCACCACAAAAAAAAAATAAAAAAAATAAAAAAAAATAAAAGGCCCAACTAAATATATAAAAACAGAGATCTAATAGACATTTCTCAAAAGATGACATACAACTGGCCAATAGATTTGTGACAAAACACTCAATGTTATTAATCAGAGAAATTAAAATCAAAACCACAGTGAGATACCACCTCATATGTGTTAAAGTGGCTATTATCAAAAAGCCAACAGATAACAAGTGTTGGCGAGGATGTGGAGAAATATCAAAACAACAAAAGATACCAAGTGTTGGTGAGGATGTGGAGAAATTGGAACTCTTACACACTGTTGGTAAGAATGTCAAATAGTACAAAGGCCAGCCAAATTGCTCAGTAGATTAAAGCGCCTGCTTAGGCAGACAGAGGGGCTGCGGGTTCAAGCCCTAGGCCTGCAGTGCCAGCTCCGCTGCCGGGGGCGCGCTGAAACTGGCTGTGGTAGTACGCGCCTGTAATCCCAGCACTTGGGAAGCTGTAAACAGGAGGATCACTATGAGTTTGATCTACGTAGTGAGACCCTATAAACTCTGCACTAAATACTAAAAAAAAAAAAAAGAGAAAAAAAGAAAAGAAAAAAGAAATAGTATAGACATCATGGAAAATTATATGACAATTCCTCAAAAACTTAAAAATAAAATTGTTTTATACTCTAGCAATTCACTTCTGGGTGGCTATCTAAATTAGGAAATGAATCCAGCAACTCAAGCAGGTATCTTCACTATGTTCACTGCAGCATAACTTACAACTCCCGCAATATGGAATCAACCTGAGCATCTTCTACCAACAGATGAATGGATAAAGCACAGATATACAATGGAACACTATTCAATCTTAAAGAAGAAAATTCTATCATTTGTGACCACACTGATGAAATGCCTTATGATAGACATTACGCTAAGTGAAATAAGCCAGGCACAGAAAGACAAAGTACAATCTCACTTATATGTGCAACCTAAAACCACCAAACTCATTGAAGTAGAGAGAAAAGTGGTAGCTGCCAGGGTCTAAGGAGTAGAAAATGGGGAGATGCTGGTCAAAGGGAAAAGTTTCACTTGGACAGAAGGAATAAGATCTGGAGCTATGAGGTAGGGCATGGTGACTGTAGTCTGAGGGTGGTTCTACGAAGAGTGCTCAGCTTCCAGCTCAGATGTGATGCCAGCACTGGTGTCAGCAAGGCCCATGGAAAGCAGGCCCCTTATACCTTTTCCAGTTATGTAATAGGCCCCCAGTTTGTAGCAGCTATCACTGTGTTTGTTGTCTTCACAGTTGAACTTCAGCACTCTGGCCGCTTCATCGAAATTCTTCTGGATCCCTTCCAGATAGTCCACCAGGCGATAACAACCTGTGAGCAGAAGGCAAGAAGTGTTCACATCTGGAGCTGCTCCTCTGCCACATGGAGAGAGAGGGTGGATGGGCCAGACTGAGCCTTTTACTTAGAACCAGCTCCAGTTCTTGTCAAGAGCAGCAAGTTGCCCTCACCACAAAAAAACATAGGTGGTCTCAGCCATTCCCACAAGTGGCCTTGTCTCCCCTTGGGGCCTAAGCAATGTACAGACTGGGGAGACCTTGGCCCCCTACACTGGCTCCACCACCCACCAGCCCTTCTGTTCCTTATAGGTCTGGCCCAAAGACCCACCGACTTCCATGATTGAAATATTTCTAGCTTTGGAATTTCTCATGAAGCCTGGAACATTTCATGAAGTGCAGCAGTAAAAAACATTAAAAAACCAAAAGAGTTCAAAGGCTAATCTTATGGCAGCAAGTCATGTAGCGATGACTATATTATTCCTTGGCCAAGCTAGGAACTTAAAGCCCCAAGAGGAACAGAAACAGCAGCTACCAAAAGAGCTGAAAAATCAGGCTCCCCCTCCTCACTCTTTGGTGATCTCCAAGTCCCAGCAAGCTTCCCTCCTGAACTTCTCTCCCCTCCCTTGACATCCCTAACAATAACATACACAGTTTCTTACTCATTTTCATTCAAAAATATCTGAACAACCATATACATCTATGTACACAGATGCTGGGAACAGTCATTTGCCCTCCTAAAATTTACATTCTAGGGAAGGAAATAAAAATGAACCAGTGTATCCAAACAATAAATGTATGATTAAAATAAAACAAGATGATCAGTTTGTTGTACATATTGCAGAGAATAACTCATATAGACAGGGCAATCAAGGAAGGTCTCACCAAGACAATAAATGTCAAGGAGGCAGAAAGTCCTGGTACAAGGAAATGTAAATAAAAATATCTGAAAGTGGAAGTAAGCTTGGCATAAATAAGGTATAATATAGCTGAGGAGATAAGAAATTAGATGGCAGCAAAGACCAAATCACAGGGCCTTGCAGAGCACTGGAAGGAGTATTTGTGTTTTGTTTTGTTTTTCCAGTACTGGGGATTGAACTCAGGGCCCTGTAAGGCAAGCGTTATACCACTGAGTCACATCCCCAGACCTACAAAAATTTCAACTCAAGTGCAACAATAAAACCACCAGAGAGTTTTAAGAAAGGAAGTGGGCCTGAGGCTGTTTAAAGCACTTGCCTACCATATGCAAGGCCTTGTGTATGAATAGATAAAGCGTAGATCCACAATGGAGTACTATTCAACCTTTAAAAAGCAATCAAACAATAAATGCTGACAGGGGGAAAAAAGGATCCTTTCTTCATTGTTGGTGTGACTGTAAAATGGTAAAACCACTATGGATGGCAAGCACCAGACCTGTGTTCAATCCCCACTACTGGGAGACAAAAAAAAAAGTGACAAGATTCAATTTACATTTAAAAAATGTTGTTCCAGTATGTATATTTGTCTATGGCTGGATAAACAGGGAGGTAGGTAAGTGTAAGAAGGGATACACTTGGGTAATGATAACAGAATAGATTTTAAAGGCAAGTACAAATGAATGGATTACAATGCTATTTCAGTTATCTAAATGGGAGATAAAGGCTTCTAAGGAACAGGCTGAGTGCGGTGGCACACACCTATAATTCCAGCACTTGGAGGCTGAGGCAGGGGGATCACTGCAAGTTCCAGACCAGCCTGACCTACCGAACTGCCTAGTAAGACTC